CAATTAATTCCCACAAAGGTAGTATTTTAAAAAACCCATAGCAATAGCATTACAGAACTAGAGCTATACTGTACCATCATCGATAGTCCCAACTTTAGTATCTCTTTTCTTAGTCTTCTTTTTTGCAGCTTTTTGAAAAGGTGCAAATTCTACTATGGCAGGATATTCCTGACCTGTTTAGAAAAAATACCACACTTGCTATAATAAAGAAAACGTCAAAAGTGGATACAAGTCAACCCACTGCTCTCTAGGTCTCCTTTGATGACAGTGATCTGAATAGAGTCTCCCAACAGGCATAAATCACACTGGCACAACTAAAATCAACATGTTACCAAAGGAGCTCCCAATTCATACTGATAACATAATGAAAAGATATGAGAGGGAAGTAAAACATTCATTTAAATTCGACTTCTAAGGTGTGACATTGTGATGCGTGGGGGAAATATCTACAAACTAATTTTCATTTAAAAAATACATCAGAAATCTCTAGAACAGGCAAAGCTATAGAGACAGAAAGTAGATTAGTGCTTGGCTAGAGCTGGGGGGTAGTGGTGGGGAGAATGGGGAGTGACAGCTAATGGGTATGAGGTTTCTCTTTGGAGTGATAAATGTGTTCTAAAATTAGATTGTGGGAAGCAGAGTACACTTTAAAAGGGTCAATTTCATGGCATGTGCATTTTATCTCAATAAAGCTGTTATTAAAAAATACAACAGGAGACACGAAAACCACAGGCAACAAAAGTAAAAAATAGATAAACTGTGCTACATCAAAACTAAGAACTTTTGTGTATCTAAGGACACAATCAACAGAATGAAAAGGAAACTGATGGAACTGGAGATCTGCAAACCATCTATCTTTATAAGGGGTCAATATACAGAATATCTAAAGAACTCCTACAACTTAACAACAACAAAAAACCCCTAATAACCTGATTAAAAAATGTTCAAAGGACTTGAATAGACATTTCTCCAAAGATGATATACAAATGGCCAACAAGCAAATGAAAAGATGTTCATATGCTCAAGCATATGAAAGGTTAAAATATGACCTCACTAATCATTAGGGAAATGCAAATCAAAACCACAATGAGATAGCACCTTACACGTGTCAGAACAATGACTATCAAAGGGGGAAAAACAGAAAATAACAAGTATTGACAGGATGTGGCAAAATTAGAACCCTCATGCATTACTGGTGGGAATGTAAAATGGTATATCTGCTATGGAAAACAGTATGGTGGTTCCTCAAAAAAATAAAACAGAATTACCATATGACCCAGCAATTTCACTTTTGGGTATATATTGAAAAGAAGTGAAAGCAGAGACTTGAACAGAGGTTTGTACATTCCTAGCAGCATTATTCACAATAGCCAAATGTCTATTGACAGATGAATGGATAAAGAAAATGTAGTATATACATACAATGGAATATTAGTCTTAAAAAGGAAACTCTGACACATGCTACAACATGGATCAACCTTGAGGACATTACATTAAGTGAAATAAGGCAGTCACTAAAAGTCAAATACTATATGATTCCACTTTTATGAGGTGCCTAGAATGGGCAACTTCATAGACAGAATGCTGGCTCATAGAGGTAGAAAGGTAGTTGCCAGAGGCTCGGGGGAAGGAGAAATGGGGATTTGTTTAATGGTCAAAGTTTCAGTCTTACAAGATGAAAAAGTTTCAGAGATTGGTTGCAGAACAATGTGAATGAACTCAAAACTACTGAACTGCACACTTAAAAATGGTTAAGATGGTAAATTTTATTTATGTGTATTTTACTACAATTTTAAAAAATGGAAACAAAAAAAGCAATGAGGTTATAATACATATTATAACATGGATGAACCTTGAAAACATACTGAGTAAGAGAGGCAGTCACAAAAGGTCACATGTTGTATGATTCTGTTTATGTGAAATGTCCAGAATAAGGAAATCCATAGTTAGTAGATTAGTGGTTGCCAGGGCCTAGAGGGAAAGGAGAATGGGCAATGACTGCTAATGGATATAGGATTCTTTTTGGAGTGATGAAAACATTCTGGAATTACACAGTGGTGATAGTTGAAAATCTTTGTGAATATACTAAAAACCACTGAATTTTATGATATGTATCGCAAGAATAATTTTTAAAAACCCCAAATGACTACTGGAAAAATATACCAGACCCTGTTATAGAATAGTGTCATACAAGGTATAAAATACCCTTAAATCATTGACATGCAAACATAAACCAGAATACATTACTAGAACTGATCATTAAGCATCACAAAGCAGTCACAAAAGGAAACAAGATTTTAGAAATCCTAGTGAATGCAGAATTAGATTACCTTAATAACTGATATATTTGAGGAATAGATAAACCAGACCGAAGCAGAAGGAAATTGTGGATGACAGGCTGAAAAAAACAAGTGAGGCCAAACTATCAAGGATGCTGACTACCAGACTAAGGAATTTGGACTTTTTTTCACAACTGCTATCTTAAGTCACTATTTTCAAAAAGATTAATTTCACGGTAATATAACAGATTGAATTATATAGAAATGGAAAAAATGGAAAATCCTGTAAGTTTAGACACAGTGGTTGTCTAAGCATTAGGTGATGAAGACATAAAGTGTGAAAGTACTACTAAGTCTAGATGAACAAGATATTAAAAGGCAATAAATTGACAAAATCCATCACTCGTTTAAATGTAAGAGATAAAAAAGAGAGGGAAAAGTTAAACACAACTCAGATTTCCAGAAAATCACTGCTATCTACTAAAGTTAGAGTGGAGAAATAGCTGGTTTTGGGGGGATTAATAAAAGCTGGACAAACACAGTAGCAGTCCTTCAACTTTTACTGGCATATTCCCTGACAAAGATTTCATTTTTATCAACTTTGAAGTAACACTGAAAAAACATTCTAATAAAAAGACACATATTCATTTATGATTGCAAAGCCAAAAGAAAAGTGGCAAATGGCAGCTTGGACTTTCTCTGGCTAAATGTTGCAAGCGGCAGATAATAAAATCAGAGCTAAAGCTGAAATTTTTCTTCCCTATAAACTCTCCTGAACAGAAGGTGGGAAATCATCAAGTTTGATGTTTTAATTACATACAACTTAGAATGCTGAACAGTACTCCAACTGAGAACTATTGACATAAAGAATTTGAATTAAATAAGTGTTGGTCCTTGAAGCAAGATGAAAAGTAAATATTTAAAACTTGTCATACAAGTTTAAAGGGTCATTTATCAGTATCACTGATGAAACTAGTAAATCTTCAAAACAATGGATCATCTAATACAGGGCAAAAAAATTGTCACAGGAGGAGAAAACAGTGGCAATTTCATTCGGTTGATCAAACTACAGAAACAATAGGTTAATAAAAATACATAAGGGCTGTGAAAAGTCACATTATCTATTTATAAGGCTGTAATAAGATTATCAAATGTGTAAAACTCTTTAAATGTTGCTCATTTTATCACCCAGGATTTTAGAAAAGCCATGAAGGCATTGAAAAAGCACTGATGCACATATTGTCTTAAACATACAAATGACAAAGAAACTCCCCTTCAGTTAAAAGGACTCACCTTTATTGTCAAGGAATACATAACCATCAAAACGATCCCTGAACAAAATAATGTCCTCTTGGTTTTTAAAGTTGATGTATGCTCTGGCATACATATGAGGATACAGACTGCAGGGAGGAAAGCAATTATGTAAATGTGCTTGCAGGTGTCTGGCTGAATTACAAGTATGCATATATTAAAGAGACAGGTTCAAAAATCAAATGGAAAACAATAGGATAAAAAAGAATGGAAGAAACCATTTTCATTTACCCCCGCCCTCTTTTATTTATTTATTTTACCTAGTATCATTAGAAAAAAACTCAAAATAATCATGCTCAGGCATAGGCTGAAGATGTTCCTGAAGCTGCTCCTTGGTCAAAGTGGGCGGTAATCTCCGAATTACCACCTTAAGAGATGAATAAGGAAAATAAAATTAGTACAAATCACATTTTCTGTTATATCTGAATCACTGTTCCTGAAGAAAGCTGGCCTTTAAAAGATGAGATCACTTATAAAAACCCAGAAGAATGTTCAGAATGATTAGTAAAACATAATAGTAAATCGATTAAAAAAAAAAACTCTCATAAGTGAGAACTGCCTGGAGCAAGGAAAACTTAAGGTTCAGTTAATCCGAAGCCCCGCAATTTACTAGGTTTTCGCCTCATTTTCTATCACCCATTTTTCAATAGATGTAGTGGTAAGAAATTAATATGCCAATCCTGGTCTTTTGTGGGTGCCACGAACTCTTGATTTTATTAACATTTCCCTACCACATCCAACACATCCTAAAACAAAATCCTTCCTCATTCAGCATAAAGAATTCAAAACTCTAAATAATACCCAAAATTCCCTCTTTGCTCCCAAAACAGGATGCACCCGACCTGACCCCCAAACCATTAACTCCTACCCCCGACTCCCTTAAGTAACCTACATTAATATTCCTATCACAAACTACTCCCACCCTTAATGGCCTTTCACTATTTAATAATTCCCCCCAGTTAACCTTTTAATTCCCCATTCTCTTCACTCTCGTTCCCCGCTCCCATTATCTCACAGGTCTGACCTAAATCCTTGTCTGGAAACCACCCCGCCTTCCCTCACTCCCATCCTGGAGCTTGGTCAGGAGGGGCTCCCCGATTTCGGGCGAGTGGATGAGACAGGGTGATGCGATTTTCACTCGAGTGAAGAAATAGAGGAAGAGATTGGGAGAGGAAGAGGGCAGCCCCATTCCCAACCATCCTCCACGGGTGGCGGAACCGTCCCGCCCTCTCCTGGGCCAACAGCCGGCCAGACACCTTGCTCAATGCCTCTTTCTTCTCCTTGTTCCGATCCTGCTTATCTTCCCCTTTCGTACTGTCCCCCGAAGCCCCACCGCCGCTGCCTGTGGCTCCTGGGGGAGTCAAGAGGGTTACTCGCTTCTCCTTAGGCCTATGCTCCTTCTCCTCCTTCATGGCCTCGGCTTCGCTCCTAAAGCAGCAGCCTGGCCTAAACGCCGCTACGCCGGGCACATACGACTCCCGGCCCACTCCGGGCAGAGCTCCGCCCCCAACAAACGCCCCTAGTGATAAGCCGAGCCCAGCGTTCCATTGGGTCACGCCAGAATCTCGCGAGACTTTAGGGCGTCCGGCTTCCCTCGGCGGAAAGGTTGTAACACCTGGTCGTAGCTTCCCGCCGGCGGAATCCCCGCACCACCCAATCCCCTCGCGACCCAGACTCCCTCGGGGCACGTCATTAGCAAGTCCGCCATCTTGGCTAGAACGAGTCTTTCACGGACTACAAATCCCGGCGTACAAAGCAGGTACCCGCTTCTGGCCGGGAGTTCTGGAGCAGTAAATATTTCAGGGTTACTATTTGTAAGTAAGTGAAATTCTTAATTTTGAAAATTTAGGTTTTTTTTGATCAAAACATACATTCTGTAGGCTGTACTTCTCTTCGTTTTCCCTAGATAAACCCGATGTTATCCTAATTTTACCTCATTTGTGTCTTCTATCATTGATTCTCAAGTGTGCTTTGAGAAGCTTGAGAATTTCTTTTCCCTATATTGATGAGGATTCACAGACACTTAGTAAACAGGCACAAAACACTGATATTTATGAGCAATATGACCAAAATATGTGAGCTTTGTGTTCATCACCCTTGTTTAAGTAAAAGGATTGTATTATGGTACTGATGCCCCCCAGGGAGGAGAAAATAAAACTCAACTTGGTTAGATGGAATTACCCTCCTCCCACTTTAATAAAGGCCAATTATACATTATTTATAATAGTCCCAAACTGTAAACAATTCAATTCAACCGACTGATGCATAAATAAAATTTGGCACATCCATAGAATTAAATACTACTCAGAAATAAAAATGAACTGATACGTCCATCGATATGAATGAATCTCAAAATGAAGAGAGTTCATCCTGTACTTACATGAAATTCTAGAAAAGGTAAAACTATAGCGATAGAATGCAGATCAGTGATTGCCAGGGGCCAGGGGGTGGGGAAAAGGGATTGACTGCAGAGGGGCTCCGAAGGACTTTTTGGAATGATAAAAATGCTCTTTATCATGATTGTGGAAGTGGTTGTATGACTGCATGCATTTGTGTAAACTCATTTTATTGTACACTTAAAATTGGCAAATATTATTTTATGTAAATTATATTTCAATGAAGTTAACCCCCCCGAATGAAAAGAAATGCAAAATCTGAAAGACAGTGCTCTGAATGATAGAGCATTTGTATTTCATCAAATCTAAGATACTGTTGAGTCTCAGACCATTATTTTATATACCAAGAAAGGAAAAAATGATGCCATTGAACTATGACACACCACCAGTTTTAAGATGCATCTTGATTTTCAAAGATGTTAAAATGTGAAAAAATGTCTTAATATCAATTGAACATATTATTGCTGTATTATATGCAATTAAGGGAAAAGAGGGTGAAATGGAAGAGAAGAGCAAATGATAAGCCAGAGAGAGACACAGACACCCACAGCCGGCAGGAACCAAGTTAAGGATGCAATAGAAGCCCCAGGCAAAAAAGCTGGCTCAGGGCCAAGGTCTCATTTTTGCTGCTTTCTAGAATATATTACCCAGACTTTGTAGTTAAATTTTCTCACCTCTGTTGCTAAGCATATGCTTCTAAATTCCTGTAGCCAAGGCTGTTTCCCTGTATTTGGGATCTGTTACTCACTCTTGCCTCCAGTACCTGCCCATTCTTACAAGCCTAGCTTAAGTATCTGCTTCTGACCTACTACTTAGCTCTGCATTTACATCTTGGTGCATCCCTCTGTTTTGGAATGCTCGCTAACTTTAAACCACCAGCTATATTTCAGTCATCAGAGTTGGGTGATCCAGGACTCAGACCTTAGGCTTCTTTTCTGTCTATGCTAACTCCTTTGTTAATCTCATCCATTCTTTTCTTTTCTCTCTTTGCTGACAACTCCAGAATTTTTATCACCAGCCCATACCTCTCCTCTGAATTCCAGACTCATATATCCACTGTCTACTTTGATATCAGAACATTGTCAGTATTCTAGATGCTCTCTTCATGTCCCTTCCCAGTCACTTCCCCCACCAAGAGTACTACCGTCTTAACTTCTGACACCATTGATTAGTTTTGCCTGTTTTGAACTTTATGCAAATTGAATCATGTAGTATACATTCTTTTATGTCGGGCTTCTTTCTATCAACTTTTATGACTATGAGATTCATTTATGTTGTCATATGTAGCTTTGAATTGTTCATTCTCATTGCTGTATAATATTCCATTGAATGAATGTACCACAATGTATTTATCCATTCTAATATATGGGGTGCTGCTCTAAACATTCTAATATGTGTTGTTTGGTGATCATATGTATGCATTTATGTTGGATACATACTATGAGCGAAATTGCTGGATCATAGAGTAAGCACATGCTCCACTTTATTAGATACTGCCAAAGAGTTTTCCAAGAGGTTGTACCATTTACACTCTTGCCCACAGTGTGTGAGTCCCAGTGGCTTCACATCCTTCACAACACTTGGTAACGTCTGGTGGGTGTGTAGTGGTAGCTCATTGTAGTTTTACTTAGCATTTCTCTGATGATTAATGCAGTTGAGCTCCTTTTCATATATTTATTTTTTACTGTATGCTCTTTTAACCTTTTTGTTATCAGTATATTAATATATTGTTTATTCCAAAGCAAAAGGAAAAACCAAACCAAGGCACAGAGGTGTTATGGCTCCTTTTCACCAGTTAAGGGGGAGAGCAAAAGTGAGAGAGAGACACAGAGACAGAGAGAGAACTCAACCAAAATTTCCTTACCATCATTGATTCTCAGTGTTTGTACACTCCAAGATCTTTCTTCCCACTTCCCAAGCTGGCAGTATCATGGTTGAGGCTCCATTGTGAAAAGC